TTTATTCTAATAAATACTTTGTACAGCTGTAGTAGTCTCCATCGAGGAGCGAGTGGAAAAGAACAACAAAACAAAGAACAGCACAACGGAATCAGCATGCTCAATGTGTAGTCATGCGTGCATGCCAAATACCAATGCATGACGTAAGCTAACGTAAACTGCGTACAATAAGACAGATGCACGCGGGTGGTTGCATATAGGATAGCGTACATAATAATACAACAACCAACAGCAGCGAAATATAGTGAAAACCCTGACGCGGACAAAGTACAGAGCTTATATCCGCTCAATGAAAACTACTTTGCAGGGTAGACACCGTCCATCGCTTCACCAGTTTGTGAGACAAGCAAGAATTCGAAACGTATCACGGGAAATTCCGTCACTCACAACAGGGACTCAGCAGGCGGCTGACCCTTTGGCCAAAGCTACGGCATTAAACGCCCAGTTTGCCTCTGTGACTCGGCCAGATGACCCGTTGCTCTCTATTCCCCCTATTCTCACCCCCTCGGAGCCCTCAGCTTGTTTCACGTCCGTCATCACCACAACTGCCACTGTCCGGCGTCATCTGAAGAAGCTTCCGACGTGCAAGGCGTCTGGTCCTGACGGCATCCCAACCGGGTCCTCAAGGCCCTGGCACCATCCATAGCCTTCCCTTTGTGCCATATTTTCAACATGTCATTTACCACGGGCATATTCCCTTCCGCATGGAAAACAGCGAAAGTCATACCTGTATTCAAGAAAGGTTCCCGCCACGAACCTGCAAACTACCGCCCTATCTCTCTTCTTCCCTGCGTGCCCAAAGTATGTGAACGCATCTTTTATGACCACTTATACAGACATGTTTCGCCGTTTCTGAGTCCCGCACAATCTGGGTTTCGTAAAGGCGACTCCACCTCTCTTCAACTGACCCGCATCGTGCAGCAGGTGTGCCAGCATAGGGATAACAGAGCGCTTGCTGGCATTTGCTTCTTTGACTTGGCCAAGGCTTTTGATACCGTCTGGCATCGAGGGCTTTTGGCAAAGCTCGAGCATGCATTCAGGGTACGCAAACAGCCACTCTCCTGGCTGAAATCTTATCTCTCTGGGCGTTATCAGTACGTAACTGTGCTTGGCACATCCTCGGCTGCAGAGCCAGTATTGTCGGGCGTTCCTCAAGGATCAATTCTTGGTCCCCTACTATTTATAATTTACGTAAACGACTTACCTGCAGTCTTCCCTGGAACGTCTCTGTTTGCTGACGACACGACCCTTCTCACCTCATCAGCTTCCCTCACTGGCCTGAAAAACAACTTGCGTGCTGGCATTCAGGAAGTTCTTTCCTGGATGTCGTCCTGGAGGTTGTCCCCAAATCTATCAAAAACACAGATCATGCTCTTCCCGCCCCAGCCGGAGTTCACAACCCTCATCCATGCCAACTTTCCAAATCCAATTGACATAGTGTCTTCTCACAAACACCTTGGCATTGTGATTGACTCTGCACTCTCTTGGGTACCTCACATCGAATATATCTGTAAAAAATCAAGTAAATCCTTAGGAATTCTCTCCCCCCACTGCTCCTACCTCCCACTTTCTTGCAAGCTTCTTTTTTATTTCGCCTACCTTCGCCCAATATTTCATTATGCAGATACGTCTTGGGTTGGGTTATCCTCTTCCGCTGCTGCAAAGCTTGAAATACATCACAAGAAAATCCTTAAAATTCTCCTCCGTCAACCCCGCATGCTCTCATCATCCGCCCTTTATAAAATCGCTCACACAACCCCGTTATCACATGGACGCAGTGCACACCTGGCTTCTCTTGTCCATTCTATTAAGCTTGAGTTGTGCCCACCTCATCTCATGTGTTTTAATTGGTTCTCTTCTCTAAGAACTAGAAACTCACTCTTACTCCCTAAGTGTAACTCATCCACTCTTTGCGCTCCCCTCTCTTTATTGCTTATTCTGTTTGGCTCACTCTACCCAGAGAAGTTAAGGACCTGACCTCACTCCGCCTGTTTAAGATCCGTGCCGCCCCTTATTTACTACGACATGCATAGCTCATTATCCACATGTCCTTTGCGTCTCTGTGTTTTTCACTGTTTTTATTTGACATTATCTTTCTCTTTCTTTACGGAGTTGTTGCTGTTCATTTTGCTACTCTTTCTTTTTCCCTCCCCTTACTTTTATTTATCGCCGTGGTTGGCAATCACCCACTCTCTTTAACATTGGCCGGTGTTTCCACCGAGTCTTGAGATGTTGTAATAAATATAATATATAATATATATAAAGTATTGAACGTTTTCGTTCCCTTCTTGTCAAAATACTACAGGGAATGATGGAAATAAGCTAAAAGACTACAACTATAAGGAAAAGAAGTTCAGAAATATATCACTCCAATTATGTGTAGAAGTGACACGAAAAAATAGATGTGAAGAATCAAGAAAACAGCATGCAAATCCAATAAGTGACAAAAACGTAGTGACAAGAAAAAGAGAGAAATATCAAGAGATCTATTTTGCACCTTCACGACGAACAGTGCCAAACAACTGCAAAGACAACACATTCTCCTTCTGAACACAAAGCTCAGGGTCTAACTTACGTATGTACAAAGCTTCCAACACGGCAAGATGTAACAAAGACCTACCACGCGACAAAACAGAGAATACATCATCGGAATACCACTCACGACAACTAGCACTGCCCGACAGGTGACACTTGATTGCCGAGGTACCGTTTCCCTGACCCGACGACTTGGCCGTTGTCACCTCCGATATTGCCGCTTGCGAATCTCTCCCATTACGCCCTGCGTCCCTGCAACTCCGACTGCCTCGGTCGAGATCAGTGTGCTGCTCCACGTCCAGTCGGTCCTGCTTCCGTGGTCTACCTCGTTTCTTCACATTAACCGTTGTTGTCACTTCCAGTATTGGTTCTTTTGATTCGTCATCAATTCGTCTCCTCAATTGACTTCTGGTGACTCGTCCGGGGCTCGATTGTCCAGATGTCAGTTTCGGTGGTTTCCGTATCGGTCTCTTCTTCTTGTTGACTGTTGTTTGGGTTGGCTCCAGCCCTCCGCCCGACGAAAAGGTGGAGGCGTCGGCAAACGTATCCACAGCGGACTTGGACAAGTCCACCTCAGACACAGACTGCACTGGACACTTCGGTGGACGACCACGCCGAGGTCGAGAACCACGTGCAGCTACAGGGACAAGATTCAACGGTACATGTTTCTTGATTCTTCACATCTATTTTTTCGTGTCACTTCTACACATAATTGGAGTGATATATTTCTGAACTTCTTTTCCTTATAGTTGTAGTCTTTTAGCTTATTTCCATCATTCCCTGTAGTATTTTGACAAGAAGGGAACGAAAACGTTCAATACTTTGACAAATGTCCTAATTATTATTATTATTATTAAATTTTGAATAGGGCAGTCCCACAGGCCTAGGGCCTTTTTACAGGGTACCCTATGAATTGTTGAATAGATGAACGGAAGTTTCTGAGCAAGGAGATTGTGCGAATATCAGCAGGAAGCGCATTCCAAAGATCAGAACCAAGAAAGCTAAGCGAGTATAAACCATAGCGGCGAGAAACTAAAGGAAGACTAAGTGACAAAGTGGATTGAGAGCGTGTACGGGCTGAGGTTTGTGAAGTGGCAGTGCGAGGGAGGAAGCAGGGCGAGAGTAGTGGACTGCACAACTTATGGAGGGCTCGAAACACCAGTACAAACAGGCGAAATTGATATCTAAGGGAGATTGCAGCGAGATAGTTCCTAGCTAGAACAAGAGAAGCATCGTAGTACTTCGGGTAGCCGAAGACAATCCGAACAGAACGGTTGGAGATACGAGTAATGCGGTCCATTTGCGAGACTTGGAGGCTGTGCGCAAATGCATTAGAGCCGTATTCAAGTTGGGCCTGAATGAAGGAACAGTAGAAGACTCGTTTGGCAGCAGGTGTTAGATTGTGTTTGATTTTCCTGAACACAGCGAGTTTAGTGCCTATCTTGCGTTCCAGGAGCGTGATGTGATCTCGGTACGTAAGATGCTCATCGAACAGGAGGCCAAGGTATTTGATCGTGGCTGAAGGCGGTATGCTAGTGCTGTCAATTGACAATTGCGTTCCTTTGCGGCTCGGGTTGGTGGTGTTATCGCCGGCCGGAGGAGTACTGTTTTCTGCATTCGCACTCATCATCGTGTTGTTCCTCACACGAAAAGATCAAAACAACGACGTACTTCCGTGCTCACAAAATAAAACTTAGATCCTCGTGGAAGAAGTCAAAAAGGTGAAAGCTCAGCTGCTTTTTTATTTTGATTTGGTTGTGTAGCTGCACGTGGGTCACTGCCTCTTTGGCATTCTCCTTCGGTACGACGTACCCATCTGTGTTACAGTTCAAAAGGCACACGTGCACCGTACATTGGAACTTTTTTTTTTTTTACAGCCTCTTTTACGGGCAAGATTAAAAATTAAAAATTGGAACACACGGGTGTTTGCAGTGCATGAACTCTTTTTTTTCACACTTTGAGCCTGATGAACGCACAAAGTAACACATTTTGTGAAGAATCAACACATAAAACCAAGAGTACATAACCCCCCAGAGTGTGCAACGCCGATCCAGCTCTGTGTAGGGTCTTGGTCGAGCGGAATCGGATCTTCTGATGTCATGCGTACACTTCACACCAGCGCAAGGCCGGTCTCGAGGCAGGGCACCATTGTTTTTGATCCAAGAGTACCCGCGACTCCCCGGGTTCCCCTCAGATGTGTACGGTATTATGACGCAAAGATCCGATTCCGCTCGACCAAGACCCTATGCAGAGCTGGATCAGGCGTTGCACACTCTGGGGGGTTATGTACTCTTGATAAAACGAATCATCAGTTCAGACATGGCACGTGCTTGTTGCCAGGCCACAGCCAATGAGCGGAAAGAATAAGCGGGCAAGATCAGTAGATCTTGCCCGCTTATTCTGTACGCGATACGGTACAACTGCTGTTCTTGCCCGCATATCCGGGCAAGAACAGCAGTCCACTGCTGTTACAGTGCACATAATCATGGCCATATTAGCCCGGGTACGAGGACACCGGCCGCATGCACTCTTCCGTACTCAAGGGTCTGAGAATTTTGAAATTTTGAAACTTTCACGTGCATTTTCGATCGCGTTTTCCATCTTCTCGCCTCTCCTGAGCAGCTTCTATGCCACTCAGAAGAACAACGACCGAAGCAACTGAGACATGTACATCTACTGCAGCGACTCCAAAAGGAACTACATCGAAATTCGGAAAAACCAATCTTCCGCGATCTCTTTTCGTTCTTCATGTCAGTTCGTACCACACAGTGGCACACACGTAGATACCTTTTGTGATAGTGATATTCGCCCCCTTCCTTCCCTGTTTCCTGAGTTTTCCGACGACTTCTCTTAGTTTTTGCGTGTTCTTCATTCAGGTGAGGAACCATTCGCGCAAGCCCCGTCGCAATCCGTTCCTAAATTTTTCTAACCGACCCATCGGACAAATTTTGCTTGATTGCTGCAGGAATGGCCACTCACTTGCAAGCCCTGACACTTCTCTGTCGTGTCGGTGGTGTGCGCTTGACTAAATGTAAGCAAACTACACTGTATAGTGTCCGCGAAAATGCGGACGGTCTAAAAAAAGCGTTTGGGATAGACGTCAGCCAAGACAAGCCTGATATCCACCCCACACGCTTCTGCAGTACGTGCAACAAAACTGTCAACAGGGCACTATCCAGTGACAAATACAATCGTTGTGGTGGAGGATGTGCATCCCCTGTGGAGTGGTTACCCCATGATGCTGAGAGTCAGTGTAAGACATGTTCAAGAGTGGAGAAAATCAAAATTGGTGGACGACCCGCAAAGAAAAAACGCACAACTGTACCCCCTGTACGTTCCCAACCAGACACACAATGCACCAGTTCCACACAACCCACGCAGTCATCACAGATTTCTCCAGCTGCATCTGGTATACAGTCCAACACAAGCAGTACAAGCAGCACAATGGTACCAACGCCTGCTGAGAAGCAGCTCCGCCCTGCAAGTATTTCCGCAACAAACGAGTCGCTACAGGGGCAAGATATCGCCAAGTCAGAGTTAATAAGCAGAGCTACACCAAGTTACAAAACAGAGAGAGAACTAAGCCCAGACAGATTTATCATGAATTTCTCTGAGCTGATCTGTAGCATCTGCAAACACATTCTGGACAAATCTGTGCAGGCAAGCTGTTGCGGAAAGAATTTTTGTGTAGATTGCATATGGCATTGGCTGGTCATGCATGCTTCGTGTCCAGTATGCCGCAGTCCACTCCAAGCATCACAGTTGCTGACTCCTAGCCTGACGCTGAAGAACTGTTTAGCCGAAGTGCTTGTCCGTTGTGACAATTATCTTGACTCTTTCAATGGTTGTAGTGTGCATATACCACTAGCTAGTCTTCAGCACCATGGCCAGACATGCACCAATACAGGCAAGCACACCATCACACCTACAACTCCCGTTGGTGACATTCTTCATGCATCACCAAAGAAGTTGCAGGGCAATGTTGCCGAAAAGTTGACAAGCCACCTGGTGCGATCGAAGTCAGACAATGGACTACTTCATCTCAGAAGCCAGGGTCCCTCCCAGATTTGGAAGAAAACGACAGTTGGAACAGTTTCATCTGACGAAGCATCAGAGCGGACACAGCGTCGCAGATCCCTAGAGTTACGCCAAACCGAGCAGCTCGTTTGCGGCAGCAGTGCTAGCAGTATTCAAGCGCAGCAAGCTGCCACTATTCGTCGCATGCCAGAAGAGGAGCGGAGGGCATTGCTGATTGCAGCAGGTGTGTTGCCAAGATCAATAGAAAAAGGCAGCACACTAGCCATGAAGGCTGATCTTCACATGCCCTGGTTTCAGCTCAGGAAGCTCAAGGTCTGGCTGAAGGATTACGGCTTGCATCTTGAGTCTGAAGGTACTATGCGGCAGCAGCTGAATGAACACCTAAAGGTCAACATAGTTGCAGAGGATGTGCCATTTGTGATTGGCAAGACCGCCGAAATAGAGATGAGGCCAATGGTGGCGCTACCTGATCTCGTTGGAACTGTGCACGGCTATCTGGACCAGCTGGACAGCACTGAGCAATTGTTCTGGCATGCTGGTGTCATACCAGAGGACCAGATATGGGTCAAAGTGGGTGGCGACCATGGCGGTGATTCGTTTAAAATGTCTGTGCAAGTTTGCAATGTACGCCATCCTAATTCCATACGGAATATCATTCCATTTGTCGTCTTTGCCGCGAAGGACTCGCCAGCAAACCTTGCCACTGCTCTCCAGCCATTTGCGTCGCAAATCAATCTCCTCAGCAGCACTCTGTGGCATGGAAGATCCGTGAGAGTTCTACTGTTTGGCGACTATGAGTTTCAAACTCAGCAGTATGGACTCTCCGGATCAAGTGCAGTGCATCCTTGCCTTCACTGCGAGGCCACAAAGACCGAGTTCCAACAGCCTGGTGCCACGTCCAACTGTCGGTCACTAGCTTCACTTGAGACATGCCACTCAGCGTTTGTTGCAGCGGGAGCTCGTCTGCCCGATGCCAAAAGATTTAAGAACTGCATCCGTCCCGTCATTCTGCCCATACCCATTGAAGATGCAATCATCCCAGTCCTCCACCTTGACTTGGGCATCTTCAAGTGGATTTTTGAGGCGCTGGTGAAGGACTGTCAGACACTGGACATGTCCCTGGCTGCATCTGGGCCTGCCACACCTGCTGACAGCCAGCAGTTCTCGACCATTGTGGCCAAACACCAAAAGTTGCGGGAGAAGCAGGATGAGCTGATTGCTGTTAACGCCTCTGCCCAGCAGTTGAGGAATCAGCTTGATTGGCTGGCATTGCACAGCAACACGCTACTCCCAGCGCAGATCCAGGCAGCAGCTGGGGTGATCCAAGTCCAGTGTGCCCAGCAGGCAGCATCCAGGTCATCTCTGGAGGAGGAGACTAGCAGTCTTGTCGAGGAGATCCAGCGGATCACGGGCACCATCAGTGGCCCATGCGAGCAGTCCCTAGACAAGGTATTGCAGCGCAACAACATCTGTCGCCAACGGTACCATGGAGGAAGCTTCATCGGCAACCATGTTCACCACGCTTTGCAGAGCACCGTCATTGAGCAATTGGCTTCAGCACCGCTGGCAGTCATACAAGAGGACGGACGCACCGCCTCTGCCAGTGTTCTGTCGGATGCCACTGATGTTTGCAGCCGATACATGGCTCTTATGGAGCAGTTCGCTGCATGCAGGCGACGTTACTTGTCTTGCAAGAAGATGACACCTGAAGATTTGGCGGCCTTCAAATCCGACGTCAGGACGTTCATGGGCACTGCTCGTGCTGAAATTGTGAGACGAAAGCTTGGCCACATTACGCCGAAGCTACACCTCCTGGAGGCACATGTACCAGCCTCAATGGATACGTTCGGCGTTGGTCTCGGACTCCTTGCTGAGCAAGGAGGTGAAAGCATCCATGCGGAATTCAACTCTCTGGAAAAGCGTCACGGCGGGATCGTCAACAACTTGGAGCGCCTGAAAGTCACAGTCAGGCAGCACCTCTCATCTACGCTACCGCATTTAGCTTCTCTGCTCCCAGAACGATCTACTCGAAAGCGAAGACGCAAGGAGTGAGAGAGTAAGAGATAACTGCATACTTTTTTGAAGTAGTATTTTCAAACAAAAGGTTTCGAAAGGCATTTCCGTTTTCTGATTTTTGCTTTGCTTTTGCATTGCATGCGTGCACGCGTGGGTACGTCATACTCGATTGTTATGCCAACCGCGCTGCAGCGTGCACGTGACGAAATGGCGGCCATCTTACTCAGTGGCCAGCCCGTAACAGCAGTGAGTCATACAGCACCGCACATGCGTACTTACCATTTTTCGAAGTCCTTGCCTTGGTCAACATCTCCGACGAGTTCTTCAAAATTTGTCTCGCTTCTCCAAAATTACTCACTACTGTCTTGAACGTCTTGAACGTCTGTAGGGAGGCCAGAAACGCCATCCAACCTTGCAGTTGGGCATGTTGCTCGGCGAAACGCACGTAAGGGAAGCAGACCTGAACAAGTGTAGCTTCTCAGCCACTATACGTTTTGGTCTATCGCTGCTTGTCATCAATTACTAGCCCCCTCCTTCAGTCACTGTTTCTCCTGCGATCAGTTGGCCCGCACACAAATGCTCGTACTCGTGGCCAGGATACAGCTGCCTTAGTATTACCTACTGTACATATTGGGTATAGACTGCGCTCAAGTTTCTTTTCTGGCGGCAGGTCGGTGGAACACTCTTCCTCCAAACTGTCGTCAGGCACAATCTGCTGGTACTTTTGCTCACCTAACAAAGATTCACCTAGGGTTCCCTGTAACAAGGCCATGCCTGTTGGGACTCCCCTAGTCAAATAATAAATATTACAACTACTACTACTACTACTACTACTACTTGAGAACGGTTTTATTCACACCACCATGAGGCATGAAGTAAGAGTCAAAGCAAAAAGACAACCCAATTTCGGAATAAAATAGAACACTCAATTGAAATATAAAACTTTGGACTCAAAAGCTTCACACGAAATCATCACCTAATAACAATGCCTATGGGCATGCAAAGGCGAACGGTCAGAGCTCTGGCCGTGTCAGCAGAGCCGGCGGCAATAAGCCGCAAAGGGGCTCCCGACCCTGCGGCGAATGTAAGAGGCCCTGCAGCCCCTGAAGCACGTGACTGCCCATCGCAGCAGGCAAAATGAAACTCGGGTGCGTAACTCACCCATCACAGCAGAATATACCAAGTCTTTGTTTTTGTCTACAACGAGAGCAGCTAGCGACTTCAGAAATATAGAAGTTTCCTTGCCCGCCACACCCGAGGTCGAAAACACCAGTGGGGTGAATGATGCCCTCTCCACCTGGTTGACTCTGGCACCATACGCCGCCTTCTTCATTCTCTCATGTGTTCTCAGGTGGCTAAGGATTTCCGGACGAGACAGCAAGGACGGCCCAAGGTCAGTGACCCTTACATCAAAATAGGCGTCCTGCTGCCGCGACCAGAAACCCCTAGCCCGTATGTCCAGGCGTGCCTCTGGCTGACGATTCGCGGAGACGGCAGAGATGTCCTCACCGTGTAGCGGGAGGAGATGTGGCTCAACCTCCACATCGGGCAGTACCTCCTGCAGCACTCCCGCCAGGAGGTCCCGAAGCTCGTTATGGCGAGCCGACGGATAGCCGCCGGTCGGGCACGTGAGGGCGTGGTGGGTGGTCATGGACTTCCCACAGACACAATGATCACTTACACCGTCCAGTGGGGCTACTACTACTACTACTACTACTACTACTACTACTACTACTACTACTACTACTACTACTACTACTACTACTACTACTACTACTACTACTACTACTACTACTACTACTACTACTACTACTACTCAGCACTAGCATTCGAACCTTAGGTTGCGTTTGGTTGGGCATTTTCAGAATGTAAATGAGAACCATTCTGGAATGGGGATCACCTGACCAAACTAACGCGCCAGAATCAATTAGGAATCACTTGACATAGCAATTCCATGATGTCGTTGTGGAACGGCGGCTGTCTTTCCTTTTACCCGACTCTAGTTTCCTTGAGAGAGTCAAGGTACTTCTGAGTGCATGATTTGAGGCACCTGAACCTGTTGCTACATTGTTTGGCTCGTCGCAGCCATTATCATTTTTGATTCCGGAATGAGAATGCTCATTCCAGCATGTGAGGTGGAATGATCATTCTCCAAAAAGAATCATTCTCAGCGATTCCCATTCTGGAATCATGTGGAATGTGACCAACCTAACGCACTTTTTTGACCAACCAAACGGGCGAGAATGATTCCGAGTGATTCCAAGTGATTCCCATTTGGGAATGTGACCAACCAAACGTAACCTTACTCTGACAATCATCAATCTTACTCGGACAACGGGTTTATTCAACCAATCATATTACTGGTAATACTAACGTTACTACTGCCTTCACTGTACTTGAATACTTTCATCTCAAAAGTTGAAAGTCCTGACCAAACAAGTCTGTTTGTGATGGACATTGCACACAATGTGACATTGCGGCATTTTGCTATTGCCAAGGCTTTTTTCTCTTTGAACATCTCCATATATGTGGGCCTTGTCTGAACCGCAATCCTACACAGTTGCATCGGGCATGACGCTCTGATCAGGCCCTCGGTCATGTGAGTGATCGCCTTCGGGGCTACGCCCCTTGGGCGTCGCGACCTCGGGGAAGATCACTCACAGACCTCGGGCCTGATCAGAGCGTTATGCCCTCGCAACTGTGTAGCATTATGTATATACAGTATTTACAGAGTCTGTCACTCAGTAGGATCACTGCACTGTGCAGGTTCACTGGATGCGTGCCTCCGCCGCCACTAGCACAGCAGGGAACTCAGGCACGGCAGCAGCAAACATGCTCTTTGAGCCACGCAGGCACATAGCACCACAACGCACCAGGGCAAACCCAAGGCGGCAGCGCAGCAAGGAGATAATCTACCCGTATGGCTCCTTGCTCTTCTCAGCCAGGAGAGAGGCGATCCGCGTGAAAAGAGCATTGGCATGCTTGCCATAGCCACCAGAGGCAGAAAGCAGAACGGGCACGAAGGAGGCATGCTCAACTTCACGTACTCGCTCTTCGTACTTCCGGCGCTTTTCCTGTTCATGGCGTCTGTAGCTAGCAGCGAGGGAGGTGGCACGATTCGAAGACGCAAAAGGGTTGAACACCCGTACATCAATAAAGATGCGCTCGAATCGGCCATCCCACACACCACTAGCCGCAACGTCCAGCCGAGCTTGCTCCTCCGTGACAGCTGTGCGATGGCGGAAGGCCTCTCCAGTGACGGGCTGGAGGTGGGGTTCCACCGTCACGTTGTGAGCGACCTGCCTTAGAGCTCTGGTGGTGATGTCCCTCACCCAGGGAGTCGTAAAATACCGGGAGGCGACACGAGATGCACAACCGCGTCGGATGATTGACTCAGCTCGGGCACGAGTGCCGAGGGAAAATATAGAATCCCCATGAGGTCAAAGCGGCGCAGGTCATGCACAAAGGACGCGTTCGCTGTTTGGTCCAAAAAATCAAAAAAATAATCCTGCTCCCAAGGAATCGTCCGAGTGTCAGCAGTTGATTTGGTGATTCTAAGTTTGTGCCTTGACGGGGTAAAGGATGATGGTGCTTGGCAGAGATGCCTGCCAAAGTGATGAGTCCGCCGTGGAAGATGTAGATGACGCCACGTATCCACTTGGTGACCTGAGTTGTGGAGATGTTCAGCTGTGGACTACTGGTGAGATTCTCTCGTCTGCATTTTTTGGTCTCGTCTTGTCCTTGTGAACACGAATGTATAATCTGTAGCGTACTAAGCGCCCCAAACTCACCCGAAAAATGGGAGTCTGCCCACGGTGCATTGTCTGTTCACTTTGACATGTGACAGTGTTGAAACTGTGACAGGATGTTATTTTATTCATGTCCTGAAAATTACGTGTGTACCTAGTATGTAAATTGTTGACATTATAATGTAAACCTCCACCCTCAACCCTTGCTTTGCCTATGTGCAGATTCATGTAAGAGTGGCAGTACCACCATGGTGTACAGGCCTATGGAAGGTGAAATAATCCATGGAATTTGCGAACTGCTGACAATGAGACAGGCGAGTGTTACTGAGGCGATGGGGTCATTCCTGCATGTTATCAGGACACAGTTACACAAGGCATCAGGTTTTGGAAATCTGCTACACCAGGAAGTGTGCCAGCTGAAGGCATGCAATGGTGCCGGCATTTCGCAAGCATGGCAACAAGTGCTCTCCAGCATCTCAACAGCTTTTCCCAAAGTGAAGCTCTGTATAAGACACAATATGACACAGCTAAAAACAACTGAAGCAGTGACATGTGAATGTTGCACGAGCATGCATGTGCGTGTATGTGTGTGTGTGTGTGTGTGTGTGTGTGTGTGTGTATATGTGTGCGGCTGTGCCAAAGCCTAGAGTGTTCATTTGCGGCTGTGGCAGGGACTTCAGCGTCGGCCCAATGATCTACCTCGCCACAGGAAATACTGCAACTCCTGATGCTATCATTGCACGGAGCAATAGGCATCCAAAGGTCCAAAGGTGTATGTGTGTTGTGCATTGGTGGTCGATTCACATGGCTTTGCCAGTTGTGTGGATTATACAGTTATCTGGTGCAAGTCTTGATCTGTCTCATTCAGATCTTGTTCGCTATCGTTGCTATAAGAGAAAATCTGTGGGTGCACATCCAGTGCATTTGCAGACTTGCGTTCTTCACTTGCGACGGGCGTATGCATAGTATGTGTGTGCGTGCGTGTGTGTGTATGCTTCTGTCATAAGTGGATCAAGCAGTATACAGGGTATTCACGGGTATTCGCCTTGAGTGCATTTGCCGTTAGTGTGACTTTCGTCACAGAGAACTTTGCTCAGTCGGTCAGGCGACTCGGCCTTACGTTTCCTGAAGGCAATGTGTTCAGAACACAGTTACTTCAAGTATGAACAGCTATGAACAGTTAAGAAATGACAAATATTGTGTGTAGTTCATGGACCATAATGTGAAACACTTTGAATGCAGAAGAATGAGGATAGTGGCATCAAATGCTGCATGGATTCTGTTTGA